CCCTCATCCTGCTCAGCACCACCGTGGAGGGCGGCTCGGGGCTGGACGGCAGCCTGGAGCTCTACTCCGCCTCGTCCGGCAGCGCCCTGAGCTCGCTGGACTCGCCTCGGGGAGACCCGGAGCAGCTCCCGTCCTTGCCAGGGGCTGAGAGCGCCGGGGAAGAGGGGGCTGGACGGCCCTGTCCAAAAGGCGCGGAAAGGAGTTGTGAGCCGGGCTCGGTCTTGCAAAGGTCCGGCAGGGTTCTGAGGGCGTCAGTGCGGAGGCCCTGCCCGGCACAAGCTCCCGTGTCCCCACCGAAAGCCACGACCGCTCCTCGGGCAGCGCTGCCTCCCGTTAATGGTGAGGCACAGCACCCTGCGCCGTATGACGGAGCCATGTCTGATGAACCGTGTGATGATCTAAGGAGAGATTCAACAAAAGGAAGCTCACCTTGTCAGAGAGGTAAAACCAAGAAGGACCTGCTTATGCCGGTGGTGGTCTTGGACCCTCAAGAAGTGCCACTGTGGCTGATGAGCATGAAATGCAACAAAAAGGCAGATACTCAACCTGCCTGCCAGCAGCCCGTATCCCCTTTGGGCCTTCAAGGAATCTTGGATAATAAACATAAAAGTACCAAGGTCGTTTCTGGAGAGGGAAGTACCTGTAGAAAAGCCTGCATCAGCGGCTTCAGTGCCAGCCGGTGGAGGAAGCAAACAAGGCTCGGTCCAAAAAGGCACAAAAGTAAGAGACAGCAGCAGCCCAATAACTCCTTTTTCAGACCACAGATGAGGCAAAAAGGAACAAAAAAGAGTGTTCTGGAGATGTCTGTAGATATAAGAGACGATGACTGTTCATTCCTCAACAGCTCCCAATCCTGGGGTAGAGTTCGAGCATCTTTGTCCTTCCATAAGAAGAAGAAAGTTACCACAGAAAAGAGTTCATGCAACAGCATCCTTTGTACCCCTTCTGTGAAATCCCAGCTTTCAGGGTACCAAGCAACCCTATCTGCTGGTACGGCTCAGTGCTGCAGTTGGTCTGCTTCCTCCATGGTCCTGCTGGCTCCCAGGAATTCCTGTTCTGTCCTGGAGCTAATGCTTACAGATGCACAGAAGGTGTTTGGTGAATGCCACCAGGAAGGACCTATCACTTTTGAGGAATGCATTCCTTTAGACAAGATGAAAGATTGCAAGAAAATTGGAGAAGGGGTGTTTGGAGAGGTCTTCCAGATGGATAGTGAGAGAGGACCTGTGGCCTTAAAAATAATTCCCATTGAGGGGACTGAAAGAGTAAATGGTGAAGCTCAGAAGAGCTTTGGAGAGATCCTGCCTGAGATAATAATTTCAAAAGAACTCAGTCTTCTCTCTGAAGAGTCTGTGAATAGGACTGTTGGGTTCATCAGCTTGTACTCTGTGCACTGTGTTCAAGGGACCTATCCTCAGTATCTCCTGGAAGCCTGGGACAAATACCACGAAGAAACAGGATCAGAAAATGATCGGCCAGACCTTTTTGGGGACGAGCAGCTCTTCGTGGTTCTGGAGTTTGAATTTGGAGGCAGTGACTTGGAGAATATGAGAAACAGGTTCAGTTCAGTGGCATCAGCAAAGAGCATTTTGCACCAGGTCACTGCTTCCCTGGCTGTGGCAGAACAGGAACTGCACTTTGAGCACAGAGACTTGCACTGGGGGAATGTGCTGGTAAAGAAAACGGATGTCAAGGAGCTTAATTATGTGTTGAATGGGGCGACGCACACAATCCCCACAGCAGGGATCCATGTCAACATCATAGACTATACCTTGTCTCGGCTGGAGAAGGACGGGTTAACTGTGTTTTGTGACCTTTCCACTGATGAAGAACTGTTTCAAGGCACAGGGGACTACCAGTTTGATATCTACAGGCAAATGAAAGTGGAGAACTCCAACAACTGGACTGACTATCATCCACACACCAACGTCCTCTGGCTGCACTACTTGTCAGATAAACTTTTGAAAGACATGGGCTACAAGAAGAAAACTTCTGCCATGAGGAAAATAAAGCAGCAGCTCAGTAAATTCCACAAAGAAGTACTGACCTTTGAGTCTGCCAATGAAGTTTTACAAAACAGCAGCCTCTTCCAGTGAGCAAGGGAGTGCAACATTTCCAAGAACTAAGTCACCGATACTGCCCTTCTCCTTTGCTGTTTTTATGTATGATTTTTCTAAATGTTGCCACAACGGAAAAGTGTTATAATCTGTTACCAATATGTATGATACACTGTCAAAAATGTCTAAAAAAACCCCCAAGAGTCTTCTGCTTTAAAGTGTTTCCATATGTACTTTTTTTGAGGGGCAATGGTGGGGAGAGAACAGAGTTGACGTTTGAGAAGGGGGTAAAAAAGACTTCTTTGGGCTTGATGTTTTGAATTCCACAGAAGTTTTCTTACCTTTTTAATCTTAGATTATTAAAAGTTCTTTCCTTACTATATTGTCTTTCTTACAAATTCTTTTTTTAAAGAAAAAAGAAAAAAATTCTGGACAGTGAGGACAAAGGTAATTGTTCTTAGCCCAGCTGGGTACAGAGAAAAGGAAAAAAACACCTTTTGACTTAATTTCAGTTTGGCAAAATTTGTACTCGGAACGATGCTACAAAATGTCAATATGTAAAGTTTCTGTAGTGTAGGTTTGAAACACACTCTAATCTGCAGTTATATGATTTTTTTTTTTTTCTCTGTAAGGACCAGTGAAGAGGTATTGGATTAGGAAAAAAATAAGAAAAAGTACCTGTGTTCCTGATGCATTTTTGACTGTTATTATTCTGTGACCTTGTATACTGACAGGAACCCAAATCTGTAACTTGATGGTAGCGTTAAAGCGATTTTCTCCATTTATCTACAGAAGAAAATGCACAAGGTAGTAAGTGTTCTTCAGTCCTGACTGCAGATGGATCAGGTGACATAAATTTGAAGCTATACTTACATTAAATTTGAATTCTTTGTTTTCAGGAAGTCTATTGCTAACATTCACATACACTAAAGGCACTGGTCTAAAGAGAAAAATAAATAAAGCTAAGTGAAAAGTGAATTAGATTATTACTAAAAATTAGTCCATCCAATAACCCAGATGCATTAAGTAATTAAGAGGTAGCATCATCAGCTGTGTTGTAACTGGAATGCTGTCTATGAAGTCTCTCTGTAAATTTGCAGTCTATCAATTGGAACAGGCTGCCCAGTGAGGTGGTGGAGCCACCATCCCTGGAAGTGTTCAAAAACTGTGTAGATGTGGCACTTTGGGACACAGTTTAGTAGGCATGGTGGCGTTGGGTTGACAGTTGGACTCTATGATCTTGGAGGTCTTTTCCAACCTTAATGATTCTATGAACTAAAAGCATCTTTGAACCTATCTTGAAGTCTGCTTGTTGGAGACCCTGGGTACCCCCCTGCCTACGATATGGTTTTATTGTTCTTTTTTTCTAGACTCTTTACTTTTGTTGTCTAGTACCACAGAAAGTGACTTGATAATCTGCAGTGCTTGAAATTAAGATGGAAATTGTATTGGAATCCTACCAGGCATCCTCTAATCTTTTTTCCTCTAATTGACTAAAGTAATGCAATATAATTGAATATTCTCAAAACTTACTTGGTAAGGATTGCAGTTAATGCGTATCTGACATCAAGGACATGTTCTTCAGTCAGAACAGTGCTATTTTCATTTATGCTTAAAAAAAAAAAGGATGGATGAAACAACATTATTATCTGCCTGCCTTGGTCCTTTATTTCTGTGGTTTGAGAACTGCTAACATTGGCTGTACAAGAGAGATGGAAACAAAGCAGCAGTAATTAATGAAAGGAGAGGTGCCAGCCTGCCTGGTGACATGGTGCAGTAGTGTTGGAGTAGCCCTTTATTACCACAGATTGTGAAAGCTGCTAGTGTCTTGAAACGTTTCGCTGAAAACCAACGCTAATTTGTGAATATGTAGTATTGCTTTCATTAATCAAAATTTAAAGCTCCTACCCATCACAACACTGGACATTAAATTCATATAGAAACCTTTGCCTTAAACCATGCTTGTAAGGAAGTGTAGCTGCCAGAGATGAGTTCTCATTCCCTTTTTAAAGATGTTCTCTGTTTATAAAATGCTGTGTACTAGTCAGTCCCCATAGATTTTAACGTGAGGAACGCCACAAGAAAGAAATCTGAATGGTAACTTCCCCTGTTAGAAAGCCCCTGATCAAGAAAAATGCCCCGAAATATGTTCTCATCCCAA